TGTGTCCTGTTCTATTTATCCATCAGCACTGTATTTTTGGCTGAAGGCTGTAGTTCAGTTGTTTGTTCAATCCCTTTTCAGAAGCCAGTTTAAAATGTAGTAATACTTGCAGGAATGAGTAACCTTTTTGCCCTTCCCCTTGTTTGTACCTGCTGAAATATTTTACACACAGTCCCCTGCTGTTATTCTTTTTGTATGTGCTGTTGTAGTGTTGTACAGATACAACCACTGGCATATGGTCATCCACAATCAAGGACATAGTTGAGCTGGGTTTTGTTTTGTTCCCAGAACAGGAAGAAACTAGTTTTTGGTTCATTTCTGCCTCCTTGCATTTAGCCTAGAAGTTTTCACATTATCCTCTGAAATTATTCTCTTTTTAAAATTTCTGTTTGAAACAACTATGTAAATAACCTTGTAAATAATTGATTGCAAAATTTAAAATATTGTTTTCAAGTTTAGCTCATGTTATTGAATTCTTAAGATTTGACTTAAATAAATCTCTTAATAAATTTTTTTATTGTGAAAATCTGTGAGAACTGTAAATGTAATGCAAGTTCAATAATATATACATTTTTATATAAACCACTAGAGATATAAACCCACTGAAATATACACTCTATTAGATGTTAGCAACTGAGAACATATAATTTCTTTACCAAAGGATTGGTAACAATAGCAAAAAGATGTAGTCAACAATATGATAATTTCCCTGTAAACAGTTGCTGAAATCATCCGGATACATTTGGATTTATTTTTTTTTATCTCATGACCAGGTTGAATTTGATTTTCTATGCCCGGCTGTTTCACAAGGGTTTTTGCCATCTGGCTTTGAACCTTCCTCAGTACATTCCAGACGGACCACTGAAGTGAGCCGATCCAAGCTCAGAGATAAAACTTATCCAAGTCAAAACAAAAGCTCTGTGGATAACGGCGGTGATTGAAGCAGAGCTTTAAAGGACTCCCACCAGAGGAGAGCAGTGCGGGCCTCCAAGCATCAGCAAAGCACAGTGAGAGCAGAGCCAAAGTGCCATGAACTGCGTAACAACCACAGGAGCCCCGGCTTCAGGTTTCCTCATCTGGAAAAGCCACTGTAGCACTCTATAACTGTGGGAGAAACAGAGGAGGGAATTGTCTGCATATACTATCTTGTCTGGTTGTCAGAAGCTGTCCCTTCAAGCACATGCCAGCACTTTTATTCCTGTGAACGCCACGGTAACTTTACACTAATGACCACACAGGAAAAAGCCCCAGGCAGTCATATAGTTTGTGTTTTTATTGCTAGGAAGTTATTAAAGAAACTCTGGCAAATTCTGGTAGTTTACTGTCTGCTAGTCATGTCTGGAGGTTTTGCAAGAAAAACAGGGTCGTTCAGAAAGAAGATATAACTTATAAAAATGTAACAGTATTTTTAATATAATATCTAAAATGTTATACATAATAATGTTCCTAAAAAATAAAACATGTCAAGGATAACAGTCCTATCCTTGATATCGTCTATCATTGTGCATCATGTTCTTAGAAAAACCCAAAAGATTGTCATGCTTTGCTGCTCTTTAAACCTTAAAATTAAAATTCTACTACTTAGCTTTTAGAATTCACTTTGCAATCACACCACATAAAACCCCAAAAGTCTTGAGACTCAAACAGAGATTGACCTGGAACTTACCTTTGCTAATCTGAAAATGTTAGCAAAGATGAATTTAAAAGTGAGTTGAAGAAACATGCTTAGTTAATAAGAAGGCAGTTTACTGCTGCAGGACACTGGCACTTATGGACTTCAGATTAAGATCAAAGCATGTCCATGCTCTAAAAAGGTCCAGTCAAAGTCCAGACCTAAATCTTGTTCTGAATCTCTGGCAAGATTTGAAAACTGCAATTTCTGTCTGTTTTGAGTTGGAGTTTTGCAAAGAAAAGTGGATAAAAATCTTTTTTTGTGGTGTACAACACAAAATTGTACACCCAAAAAAATTTTTTTTTTTTTTTTGAAGAAACAAACCCTAAAAGGTTTGAAGTCATTTTAAAATTAATAATCTCCACAGGTGGTCCTATTTTAGCTTTTACTGTCCCAGCGTTCCGTAATACAGAAATCTGCAATGTTCACAAAAATTTCTGGGAAGTGCAGTCCTAGTCTGTTTTTTGTTTTCCCTCTTCTGCTCTTTTCCGTTGCTGTTGCTTATTTTTTTCCTTATTTTTTTTCCAAATACACAGAGCTACATCAGGAGTGCTTGTCTTAAATGTTTAAAGTTTTTTTGTTGCTTCTAATGCATGTCAGTACACATCCATCAACACAAACTCCAGGTAGGACAGCATGTCCCAGCAAGAAGCTTTTGACCTGATGTAAATGCCTATAAAGAAAAATTTTAATAATGGGTTTCTGATCATGTGAAGCTCCTCTGACACTTTCTGTGTAACGTGCTCACATGAGCAGATGGTTCAGTTGATATATTTCTTCCAGTCCAATAAGGCGCGTCTCGTGGTGTGTACCACTGAAGCTGCTCGAGACATCTCACTCCAGCAGCCTTCCCTTCTCAGTCTCTTTGCTCTCACAGCTCCTTATTTTCATACTGTGTATGACTTCAATGCCATGTCTGTTGTCAGTGAGGCCCGCTGTGCTCCCCGCCATCAAGGCCCTGTGCAGCTGCTCCGCCTGCCTCTGGCTTTGCTTGCGTGTGTGGAAGGACTGCGGCGTCCCAGAACAGAGTCATACTGTACGTTCAAATTCTAATAATTGCTCGTGAGAAGAACAGTCTCTTTGAGTCAAGTCATCCCAACTGAACTAAAATTAAGCCTGTGTAACTATTGAATTTTTCATTGCGTTTCTGGTGATTCTGCAGTGTCACGTCAATATATATTTTAATAAATATGTTTGTCTAAGAACATTTTCTCTGAGATAACTTTACTGAATTCAGAATTACTTTAAGGACATGCATGGGGTCAAATATTTTTAGTGCTCTGAGAAACAAGCATTGACTGACTTTTGAGGAGGAGGCACAACATCCAGTGAATCAATGTTTTTTCAAGAACATCATGTCTTTTACTAAAGTATTCATATCCCTCCACAGTTGATTATGTCTCTTCAGAGTTTTTTTTTTTTGTTTTTATTTGGATTTTATGTTCTAGACTAATTCTTTTGGAAATGGGAGCCAGGGCCTCTGGGGAGCGCAAGGAGGCTTCAGAAAGTTGAAGAGAGAATGAGGGAAAAAATATGCAAAAAATGACAGAATTTGTAGAATATAAAACTAGTAGTTTGAGTTTGGTCCTCACGACGCTGTTTATCTCGCAATCTTTTTCTTTCGTTTTAGCATTAAATTTGTCATCCACACTTCATAAAACTGTTCTCCCAACCCCCACACATGATTGTACTTTTAATTTAATCTGTTTACAACTTGACCCGATTCTGAACTTTTCACTGTGTAGGTTAAAAGGCCCTCATTATTTTCTTTTCATCTCACATATCTAAGATTTGTGATTAACTCTCCCAGTCGTAAACAAGCTCCTGTGCGTCTCTGATTACATGATTAGACGGTAGATATTCAAGCAAGGTTCTCATCTTTTGTTCAGCCCAGCAGGCACACGCTGAACTGTCCTGATAATGGTGAGCGTGACAAGTTTCAAAATGAGATTTGTGCTGAACTGCTGCTGGGACTGAACACGTATAGGAAGACTTCCACCGGAGCCAGAAAGAAGCTTTCTGTAAAGTTCGACGTCCTGAAGTGAAAAAACTGAAGCACTGCTATGCCTGCGCACGTTTCCCAATTAATTGTAGCATCCAGGTTTGACCTTTGCCCAGGTTTCCCATGTTCTCTCTGTTTGCCTCCATCCTCACGACATGTTTTAACAGGCAGCAGATCCTTGACCTGAGTGAGTTGTGAAGCCAGTAACTGATCATTTGTGACAACAGCCTGGAGGGAGGTCTGCGAGTCATGATGACCACCGTGCTCCTGACTCGTGTAGCATCGGCCTTCGCGCTTCACTGGTTTTCAAAAACAAGGCAATAAAATCACCACTTGAAGTTGTTTTGTTGCGTCTTTAAATTTTCACAGGCTTCAGCAAACAGGCGTATTTTCTTTGGTGGTTTTGGACATTTCTCATGAGAATAAATCATGCTTGGTTTTTCAGCAGGAACATTCTGACTCTATCAAATCCTTGGTTTATTTCTCATAGGCTGCTTTGTGCTGCAACTTTATTAAGCTTTGTTTTGAACATAGCGGTTACTTAAGAGACACAAGGAGGCGCCATAAACATCAGACAGGTACACAGTTCGTGTGAAATCCCCCCCTCTATCCACAAATGTACTTAGCAGCTGTTCCTTTGGAAGTCACTGGAGGGAGGCTGCATGGAAAAAGGAATGAAGCCAGCTGGGTGGAGAGCAATGGGAAGATTCTTTCCATTTCTGTCTGTCTTATGGAGACGTGCTGTTTTTTTAACTTTTTTTTTTTTTTACTTTTCAGAGAACCATTCATCTTCAAGTGAGCAGCAGAGTTTATAATATTATTCAGCTCCAATAAGCAAAGGATGCAGTAATGGATTTCAAGATAAATTGCTTCCTTTCTAGAATCAAACAAACTGTCGTAGTTGATCTTGTCAAATGCAAAAGAAAGTTTTTAGGACAAGAAAACTGGAGAAAAGAAAGTGTTTATCTAAAAATGTTTGTCTTGTAGAAGTCTTTTTCTCACAGTAAACAAAATAACTAGATGTCAGATATTTTATAGTGCCCGAATTCAACATGTGCTGCACATCTGGACGGCTGTGCTCCATCTTATCAACGCAGTCCAACTTACATGGGGATCTCTGAATGGTGTTCGTCTGTTTAGATTTATGGTTGTGTCCTGGATAAAAAATGCATTGGAAAATAATGCTTCACTTTTATTAACAAGAACCCAAAACTGGTTCCTAACAGACACAAAGAATGCAATAAAGAAACATCAATGTGAATGCTACCAGCTGTCGTTTCTATGAAGCAGCTTTGGGGTAAAAACCATAATGTGTTTGCATTTCAGAGCGTTACTATTGGGATGCGACGCTGCGGATTCCCCAAGCTGACTTCCAGGAAGTTCTCCATGACGACGGGGCTGCGCTTGCCTGGCTCATGGCCCTGCGGCAAGTTGGTATCGTGCACCTAAAGGGGGCGCCTGCAGAGCAAGGTCAAGTGGCCAGACTGGCTGAGAGGATTGGATATCTCAGGCTGACGTTTTACGGGTAAGACTGTTTACTGGAAGCACATTCAGCACTGTGACTAAGCATAAAGGTGGTGGAGAATTTGAAATTTAATCACCACCAATGTGTGCTAATATTACAAAAATGTAGGGCTTTCACTCTTTCAGTCATCCAATTTTTTGAAAGGCTGGACCGCTTTTCTCATGTTTTAGTTTTACAAAACTAAACACATGTTTAAGACATGTTTATTTTTACAGTTTAACCAGATATTAGTGGGGATTACTGCATACTCAATGCTCTATAGTGATTTTGTTTGACCCTGAGTTGACTAGAGAACTTGTGCATTAAATTTTTCTATTAAGGTGAAAATTATTCCATGTTGAAGAAAGTAGATGAAATGCGTCTTAATTATTTATTCTTATGATGAGTGCAAGCAAACTTCTTCACATTCAAAAATAATTCAACCTTTTTAAGCACAGATGTATTTAGACTGTATCCACGAGTCTTTCATCTATTGCTTTGCTTCATATTGACTCCAAAGTTGAGCTTAGTGAATCTCTTAGCTTTTTTCAATCACAGCAGTTCATCACTTTGACTTGCTGCAGGGCTGATTGTTTGAGGACAGAGAAGAGGAAAACAAACTACAAGTATTCCATCTTTCCAGAGGAATATCCCGGTGCACTCAACTGCAACTGAAGTTTGAATCATAAAGCTCTTCCACCAGCAGGAGATGAGCTCATTCTGCAGGAAGTGAAAAGTCGGCAGACGAAAACTAAGAGTCTGCCATGAGAGAAGTTGGTAATGACTCGAGCTTCGTCCAGAACGAGGCGTACAAACAGAACATTGAAGATAACTTTTGCTCATTAGCGCTCAACTCATGCAGCATCTCAATGAAGGATCTACTTAAGAGTCTACAGTCTGAGCATTCCTGTGAAGCTGCCCGGTTTCCCCTCAGGGATCCCTCCGAAGTTCATCTCATCTCATCCTTTTCTCCTCGCTGCCTAATTGTCGTTGCTGATCTTCTGTTGCCAAAGTGGAATAATTAAAGTGGGGTTTATTAATGAATGTTATCTTTGTCCTCAGGCATACATGGCAGGTTCAGGACAAATCCATGGCAAACAATGTGGCGTACACTTCAGGGAAGCTGAGCCTGCATACAGACTATCCAGCTTTACACTTTGCACCTGGGGTGAGTAAAATCTTTCTTAAATGCCGTTTAGAGGATTAAACAGGAACGGGATCAGCGATGAATCATGTCTTGGCATTTGGCCTCCATGACTTCAGAGCCTTAAAGGGAGCATTTGCTCGGCATGTGTGCCTCGGCCTGCTGTAGGTGCAGTTCCTGCACTGCATTAAGCAGGCAAAAGAAGGAGGGGAGAGCGAGGTGGTGGACGGCTTCCACATGGCCAAGCAGCTGCAGCGAGAAGATCCGGAGGCCTTCCGGACGCTCACCTCGCTCCGTGTGGACTTCACCGACACCGGGACCGACTACTGCGACTTCATGCTGCAGTCCAAGAACCGGATCATCGAGTAAGTATCGATGAGACATCAGGTGACTGTTTAACAATACACACACACACACACATCTGATTTGGTGGTACATCCTGTAACTGTAAGACTGTGTGTGCACAGTTATTCCATTTGGAATGGAGACACTGCCATCTGCTGTTCAGAAATATTAAAAGCTGAGGTGTATTTTCTTTGTTACTCTAAAAATGATGCGTTCAGGGACCTTTGAATTTTGAACCACAACATAAGTCTTTGGATTATGGCTGAAAAAATTCATGAAAATTTAGGATGTGTTGAACCCTTTGTTTAAATCTACAAGTTCACAGTATATTTGCCTATTCAATCATGTGAACACTCTGTAATATCTCTAATCAGTGTTGACTCAGAGGGAAAAGTCACAAAAATAAACTACAACAACGCCACCAGAGACTCTGTGCTGGACCTCCCCTTACATCAGGTCCAACCCTTCTATAGAGCCCTGAAGGCCTACGTGGACATCATGAACAGACCGGAAAACGTGGTCACCTACACCATGAAGCCAGGTCAGTGGCTCACTTTGAAAATGAAAAGTTAACGTATACTTTATTTACCTGATCAACACAAAATGGATAATTGAAAGATTCAGTTTCCGAATCAGACTTTATTGATCCCAATGGAGAATTTATACATTTATCTCAAACATTAATCTGCTAACCAAATTAATTAAATCCGTAAAAAAAAGTATGTTTTTTAAGTACAACACGAGACAAGTACAATACCAAAAGCTTTAGGCATCATCTATATTCAACAGCCTAATTGCAGAGAAAATAAAATACTTAGAGTAAGTATTAGTTCTGAACTTGGGCATAATATAATTCGGACCTGAAGGCAACAGTACCAATGTATGTTTTCATTCTGGTCATTTCTTTGTTCTATAGAGTTATATAATAGTCTAATGACATTCAGAATATTGTTCGGACTATTCCTGTATATTATCTAACCAAAAAAAGAAAAGGTTCAAAGACTTTTAGCAAATATTAAAATATTACAACCATTAAAAGTCTCCATAGTAAAGAGATTCTCTGTTGGTTCCTCTTGACAATCAGAACTTCAACTATCAAACACAGGTCTGAGATACTTTGTAGACAATATCTACCTTCTCATTGTGAATTCTGTTCACTTCTAGAAGCTCAGACTTTTGAAATAAAAACGCTCAATTGCTTTAGACAAATGATGATCCAGGAATTGTGTGAAGGCTTTCCAATGGGTCTTATTTGGGGACAGCAGAGAGCCACTACACTTTTCAGATAGCTACAAAAATATGCACCTCCATTCATTGTTCCACCTTTATTTATCAAGAAATCTTAGGAAATTAAATTTGTGTTGTAATCAAGATTCTGTAAAGATTTACAAAAAGCATGAATAGTGTTTTCAGAGAGAAGGACGTTGCTCTGCAGGCTGCTTCAGCTTGTCGTAAACATGGTGAACAACATCTTTGTCATTGTTAAGGTCACAGTGACATTAAAACGTCACTGCCATCTCTGTCACAGCTGGCCAAATCAAGTTACCAATGTCTAGCAAAAAACCATGACATGCATCTGTGCTGCATCTGGCAGCTGAGATTCTGGACATTAATGTGCAGCAGGATAAATCTGTTGGCTTCAAAAGTATTATTTCAAGCAGTAAACATCCAACCCATCGGTAACCTTTGTGTCCTATGTATGCACTGAAGGACTTTCCTCCAATAAAAAAAAAATCTTCAGCCAGATTCTCATTATTAGATGGATGAAACCGGATTTGTTTCTGCTATGTCCTGAACTATAAATGATGCCTGACCTTAAGCTTCTTGACGTTTAGCCTTTCTGGTTTGTGTTATACATTACCTGCACAATACCATCTCAGATCAACAGCAAACACGCTTATGTCTGATCCTGTATGTTTTATTCCAGGTGACATTGTGACCTTTGACAACTGGCGCCTGCTACACGGCAGGAAGAGCTACATCAGCAGGCCAGACAGGCTGCGACACTTGGAGGGTGCCTACTTGGACTGGGACGAGGTGATGTCTCGTCTCCGGATTGTCCGCAGAAATGTCCATGGGGACACGCGAGCGTCGGACAAAAGGTCACATTTACATTGAAAGACCTAAAGTCTCTTCTAGAATCTGAAACTTCTATTAAAACTACACATTGGTCTTAAAAAGTGCTGACAGAATTATGATGTTAAAATATTAGGAAGCCTGAAACTTGTGCAACACAACAATGCAACGATGAATGCTTTATTTGTAAATTTAAAAGCTGCATTTGGAGCTTTTTTAAAATTTTTTTATTAAACCTAACTATGTAGTATTACACATAAAATACTATATGAATGCTCTGATTTATTATTTTTAAATGTCATTCCCTGTTCTGATTAAAATATATGGCCCAAATATTTTTTTATTTGGGCCAACAAATAAAAAAATATTATAAATATTTTTGTGTATTTTATCTGTTAAATATCCATAAGAAAAAATTGCCATGAAAGAAAAGATTGAATATATTTAGTGCCGTGTCTCTTTACATCTATGAACAAAAATAACCAAGTACAAAAAGCAGATGATTAATGATTAAATTTTTTCCCAAGGAAAAAAAAAAACTACCCGAACCTACCAGGCCGTATGTTAACATTTTATTGTTCCATTCTCAGCCTTCCATTGTTTAATTAAGAAATCACTTAAATCCAATTTGTCTGACAACATAAAGTACGTTAAATCAAAAAGCACAGCAGGATGTTTTGACAGGATTTGCAGGAGTTCCTTGTTATTTTTAAAGAAATCACGATTCTTTGCATCACAGACATTTTAACAAACGTCCTGAGATGTGAAGTTAATTGCAACAAAGTCCACGTGTTTCTGTCTTTGCAAACAAGCTGTCATGTTTCTCGTGCATCCGTGACTATATTCACACAGGTACATTTTTTTCAAAACGAAAACATTAATATGGCACATTTTTCTTGTAAGAGCTAATTTGAAAGAAATTGGTTTTGGTTTCTTTATGGGCAACTCTGGTCTCAAAATGGTGCCATTTGTACTTTTAATGGTTTAGTATGAAGTTAAACACCCATGTTTCAAACCATTTCCTGCGATACAGCTTACAAAAAACAACACAAATTTAAGTATTTTGTCAAAAAAAAAAAAAAGACAACAGCTTAATTTAGGACAACTTTATTATATTGCCAAAGCTGTACATAATCTATAAATACCTTTTTTTTAACCCCCAAATACTGGAATACTTACATCTAGCATCTCCTTACTGTTTCCCTCTCTTTTTCAGCCAGTGAGAACAATAACAGAGATGAATTGTAATATTCCAGATTAAAAACAAACAAACAAAAAAACTTTGTAGCCAAAGCAGAATTCGCAGATCAGTTGTAGAGATGAAACATCTTCTTAATGACATCCTGAAATTTCTACCTTGCACAGTTAAGTTACTAAAAATACAAGCATGTCAGGATCAAAATAAAACCTCTTCCAGTGATATTACTGTAGCAATATATTGCTGATCAGGAAACTGTTCGCCACGTGACCACACATGTACTCACTCATATATACACACACACACACATACTGCGGAATGGGCCTGTTTTTCACTGTCATGGAACACAAACAGAACTTAAAGACAAAATCTCCTCACAGAGCCGCTCATGGTTACACACGTTGGCTTGAACACTTCTGAAGGGTCGATCACATGACAGAAATCTGATTACAGAAGTCATTTTGAGACAAAATTAGGATTTCTGTCATTGTTCTGTCTTTACATCTGCAGTTTTGGATTCTGAATTTGATTTCCATGATCCAAAAACCCGTCAGGTTTTCTGTCGGCTGCTCGTCACAATTTAACATTTACATTCAGCAACTCACATCCTGCTGAAAAAAATGTACAGTAAAAATACCATTTCATGTTTAGCAGAAAATTGTATCATTTGTATTTTTTAAATTGGGAGGTTTTCAAACTAATTGATATAAAGTAAAGCCCGAAAGGCTGAGTCAATTTAACCCTTCATAAATTCATACATCCATTTCATACCCTAGTTTTCTGCTGCTATCATCATCGAAAGTAAGAAAACCCACAATTTTCAGTCCATGAACACATCTTGGTTGACAGAAGTCTAAGCAAAAATAAGTTGAAGACATGCTTGGCATAAATTGTGAAAATCTTGTAATTTCAGCAGTTCCTGCTGGATTCAAAACTATTTCTACCAAGGAGTGTGATGCATCTTTTCTTCTGTTTAGTCCTAGTACAAGCAGAATTGAGATGATGTTAAAGCAGGTGAAATGTGCAAACTGAGGCAAGAAACAACTAAAAATGGAAAATAAGGGAAGTAAAAACTGCTTATTAAACTAAAAACAACAACAACTTTGTTTATGCCTAATTTATTAAACTGCTGCTGCACTTCTCAATTGCTGCTTTTAATAAGTGAATCCATAAATCTGTCCATCCAATCAAAACTCAAGAAGCTAATTTTTGTTCTGGAAAATGTTAACTTTCAAATAATGCATATAGAGCTGGCTTTCTTAAGCTTTCTTCTTCAGTTAGCCCATATGTTACATAGAGACCCATTTTTCTTCTTGCAGAGGATGTTCTGTCTACCGGTTGAAGTTGGAAGTGAATTTAACTTTAAAGATAAACCACCATGAAATGTTCAGTTTTCTGTGTTGTGATTGACCGATAATTAACCATGGAGGACACTTTGACCAGTCATATCACACCGAATATCCAGTAAAAACACAATAGAAAAAACAAACAAACAAAAAAAAAAACATCTTACATTCTTCACCAAGAGAACCCGACTCTGGCAATGGCTAACTACTTCTTAAGTATTGCACATCAAGCAAATCAACATTTTGTAACTTTTTTCCAGAGAAATGTACAATCTAAATGCATATATTCAATAAATACTATATATAGAAATATATATATATAATATTTATTTTCATCCTTATAGTAACATGCAGTTAATACCAGAGGAGCACAGACAAGAAGTTTTACAGCAGAACTAGAACAGTTATTCAGCCTGGTGGGCAAGAGTGGTGGCATCTGAACACCGAAAGTAGTTTAGGACCAAACACCATCAACAAGAGTTTACATGCGGTGCTCTAGTGCAGGATGCAGCTGCTTTGTCACTGCACTCTAACAGGGTCTCCCGGATGCTTCACCAGTTTCAACTTGGACAAACTGGAACTTTACAGTAATCACACATCAGAGAATAACACAGAGCTGGATGGAGGCGGGCAGGAGGTGGAGAGCTGCGCTGCTGCACAGGACCTGCATGCAGCCTGTGGCTCAGACCTGGCGTCGCCGAGGCCTTCACACAGAGCTGACAAACTGCTCCAAGGAGCAAGCAAATGTGGAACTAGTTGGGTTCAGAACATCAGGACAACAACGGAGAATGTTTGGAGTTATTTACACGACATCAAGGACCAAACATGTCTACACAACTGGATCTAAAAAGGATCACAGGCTTATATTTACACAGAGGAGGGAGGGGGAGCAGGGATTGTGTGCTTAGATTTAAATTTGGGGATTGTCTGGTAAAAGAGAGATGAAGTTCAAGTACAGAGGCACACTGAGGATGAGGAAGAAGGTTTAAGAGGGGGAGGAGGGGAGCAGGAGGTGTTGACTAGCTGGGAAAGGGTCTTGGTGAGAGCAGCTTGGGTTTTCCTTCTGCTTCCTTCCCCTTCACAGCCGCCACGTAGGAGAAGAGGCAGAGCACTGAGTAACAGATCTGATGTGCCTGCAGAGGAGAATCAGAGGAGAATTATACAAGAAACAATAAAACCCATTACAGTAAACAGACATCGAACACTAAAACTGTAAATGCATCATTTAAAGTCCATACAGGGCAGTATTATGTATTTTCAAGTACTTAGTGCCATTGTACAGCACAGCAAGTAATTATATTAACTTTAGTTGTTATAAAAATACTAAATATATCACATATGATTTAAAAGTATTTTTACTTAATAGTTTATCTCCTTGACATTGGCCCTTTGTCTGTAAAACTCCTGCCTTTTTTGAAACTCCATCAGGAAGTCATCCTCTCCATTAAGCATTTAACTTTTTTACCAGTGCTGCATTGAGAAGTGGCTTGTATCAAGGTCAGCTGGTATACGGTTCCATCAGGTATTTGCTAATTGCTGCCGACTAGTCTGAAGGAGCTGAGTGGGGGAGTCGTGGGGTGGGAGTGTTCTGTGAGGCCGAAGCTTGGAAGTATTGAGCTGCACCTCGAAGGCAGTACTATGTCCATCCAGGCGTTTTGCACAGATGAACTGTTGCCATGCATGAAAGAATCAAAGCAACATCTAGGTAGGTTCCAAACAAAGAACTACGACTAAACCATAATGTAAAGGTGAAAAAGGTCAATTGTACATAATACTGCACCATTAAGAGGCTCTGCAGATGCATGATACAGAATAATACAGCAACTTTCAATGATATCAGATCTCCTTTTTGTTTTTTTTATTAAAGGAGAAACTCCATAGGTCAAATATAATGTCATGCGTCATACAGAGCTATCTTAGCTGCCCATATTCAAAAGTATTTGAACATTGCTTTACTAAAGCAATGTTTAATACGGCAAGCAGTAAAAGCTTTTATGATTCTGTGGGGAAAAAGTTACTGATGTTGCTCAAACAGGAACAAAGTTACAAGGCCATCTTGGAGTTTAAATCCAGGATCAGGCAGGTCATGTAGGAACGCAGGGAATGTAAAACCATGAGTAAACTTCCCAAGAGTGGTCTAAAAGCAGAGATTACACAAAGTGCTCTGCACTCATTAGGGAACAGAAGCAGACTTCTAAGCAATTAAAAGCCTCGATCCCTTCAGCTGTGCACTTTCATCAACTGCTTAAGATCTCGAGATGCAAAAATGATTAATTAATTACTTTAAAAAAAACAGATCAAATTTCAGCTAAAATGGGAGTTGAGCACCAAAAGCTACATCACAAAGTAGATCTAAATCCAATTAAATTTGTGTTGCAGGACATAAATAGTGATGTTTAGACAAGTTTAAAAACTTTGATTTTGATTTTTCATTGTGATAAATGTATATATATAAAAATTAAAAAAACTTTCCACCCCAATTTAATTAGAACATTTTCTCAGTGTTTTATAGTTTCATAAAACCTTAAATTATATCAAATTGTGTTATTGCGGCATGTTTAAAACGTGCAAACATTTAAAGGGTACCAATATTTTTGCAAGGTACTGTACTAATATTATATATTTCATCAGTTTCTTTAGATGTTTCTTCATCTAAATTTAATAGTTTCCCCAACTATTTCACCGGAAATAGTTGGCGAAACTATTTTGTTTGAAACTTTGGTAATATCTCAGTCTTTTACTCATATACATATAAACGTTACCAAAATAACTGCCAAATTGTACTACTTTGTCCGAAACAATTGACTTTCTTTCT